TAAAGTAAGGAATTTTTACTTATTCTGTGGGAAGATTTGTGGAGAATGATTAAGGTAGAAATCCTTAAGATGTTGGGCTGCATACAAGGGTCGATTATATTCGTTTGGAGCAGTAAGCATTGCAGTGACCAATCCCCCAGTGCTTGTTCCTGCAATCACATCAAAGTAGTCTGCTATTCTTACATTATCACCATCAAGCCTCTGCACACACCATAATCACACATTAATTAAATGTTAATTAAGCTATAGAAGAAATAGACTAAAGTTAATTTATACAGACTAGGTATATAAAATAAGTTGCACCTAACATAATACTAAATACATTTCCAGAATGTAACAATCAACCAAATTGTTTCTTTCATGATGTGATAATAATTAATTTAATATAGCAATAATGCACAATGGAATACTTTATTTAGCATTATATATGAAAGGGATCAAATCCCCTTCGATAAATAAATAAACATAAAGTTTTAACCTTGATTATAATTTTGTTTTGGTTCCTCTACTGCGGACAATTTTGGCCCTCTGTAGGTTTAATTATTTTATTTTTATTCATATATGACGACTGATAATTTATGTTTTCATAGTTTTAAATGACCATTTCTTTTATACTTTTGGCTCTTGTCATTTCGTTTTTATATTATATGAAAATTTAATAAGCTAATTAGTAGTACAAATCTGTCAAAACATATTAGCTGACTAGTAAACATGTTTGAGCTAAAATGTCTATTTTTCAATGATCATATTGGAGTCATTATAAAACTATGAATTTTTTTTTCAAACACATATAAACCAGAATTAAATGTTTTAATTTTTTAAATGACCATTTTTTTTTCATCTTAAAAATGAATAATCTTGGCTTGACTATTATACTTGTCATTTCTGTTTTTTTATTATATGAAAATTTAATAAGCTGATTAAGGGTACTAATATGTCAAAACATTATTAGCTGACTAGTAAGCATATGTTTGAGCTAAAATGTCTGCTTTTCAATTGTATGAACGATATTGGAGTCCTTAAAAATATGATAAGTAATTTTTCTTTCAAATACATATGCCAAAATTGAACAATTAAAATTATGTAAAGAAAAAATAATTATACACTAATCTAAAGGATCCAAGCGTGCGATTAAATCGAACTTTTTATAAAATATAGTTTTATAATTTATTGATGTCATATATCGAAATTATTTTACTCTCAAACCGTCTCTATGATGTTATTTCTTTTTAAAGGTTTGTTTGGTTAAATAACAAGTACTTATAAAACAATAAAATAATAAAAATTTAAATAAGTCTTCTTATAAATTAAAAATAATTTAATAATAAATGAAAATGGGAAAAATGGTCATATATGTAACTGTTTTTGAAATTTAATATTTATAGGTTGTGAAAATGTTTTATATTCTCTTTTTTTTTATATTTGTTTCTCAAAAATGCTTTTACAAAAAATTATCCAAACATATATATGTATTGGTTGTTAATGATACTACCTGAAGCTCTGATTCGAGAAATCCAAGAATGATTCCTGGAATGATTCCCCGAATGCCACCACCATCAATACTAAGCAGAGTGACTAGGTGTCTGTCATCAGATTCTTTTGGAGCTGGAGATACATGGTTTTTCATTGTTGCCATGAACTTTAATATAGTGAGAGATAGAGAAAGAGGTTGAACTTCTCTACAAGTTTATTGGTTCTCAGAAAACCTAGTTTTCATGGCTAGTTTTGATGAGGAGAACCTGTATATATAGACCAACCAAACTACACAAACATACAGGGAAATCCTTCTAATTATTTACTTTTTTTATAGCGTGTTAAATCAATTTAAAATAACATGGATGGTATCATTTTAAACTAAGAGATATTAACGTTGAATACTTCCACACCTCATTTGTTTATTTAACCAGCTACTCTTCTCATTTTAATCATGTTCTTTTTTATAGTGTCCATTGGCCAATCCAGAAATGCATCGACTTAAGGGATATGGATACAATATTTAAATTAACAGTGATTCATCTAGATCGCTACTAAAACACTGAAAACGTGTATCTTTAAGGCTTTCAACCTCACAGTACATTGAATGCATCGACCCTTTTGTTAATACACATAGAACACAGTAGTTTTTCACATGATAATCGTGTCTTTAGATACAGCGAAGACATTCATGAGAAAATAGCAAACCATCTATATAATTTAATTTCATAAAATTAACTTGTAAAGTTAAGTTATCTATAACACTATAAACTCGTTTTATTTTTAGTCTGAGATTTTCAAATATATTACACTAAAAAAACTGTAATATTTTCTAAAATATGGTTCTTATATATTGTTTTAAGGTATATGCTAGATAATTATATTGTTTTAGAATTTCACTTTCGACGTTCCGAGTTTTATCTCCGTGTTATAGTGTGTTTTGGAACAACAAATTTTGAAACATTGATTTTACATCGTGTGTCTGAGCTTATTGAATTTTACATATAATTAAGAGTTTAAATGATTTGTTAGGAAAAAATCCTACAAGAGTTAAAGTTAGAAAAAAAAAAGTGGAGGTTATAATACACTGGAATTTGTTGATTTCTACTTATATAACATAAAGATCAAGAATATAGTTATAATGTTCTAATGGACTTGGGTGTGGTTATTAAAAGGGGAGTGTGTTTAGTATAACTTGGATTATTTATGTGTTTGGATTGACTTGTTATTATTTTGTTGTTGCTTAATAATTGTCTTGACCACGTTGAGTACATGCGGGTTTACGGGATGGGAGTGAGAGTATGATACGTTTTTTTTTGGAATTGGATTTTTATATTTGTGTTGTGTCCGGTGAAGCTCCTGGAAGAGTGGTGGGAGTAGCATTGGTACTTGTCCGGTGAAGCTATCTGGGAATAGAGTGGTGGGGTGTATACTTGTTCGGTTAAGTCCTAGAGGGTGGTGGAAAATATATACTTGTTTGGAAAAGCTCTAAGAGAGTGGTGAGAAGTGTTGTACTTGCCCGGTGAAGCCTTTCAGTGAGTGGTGAGAAGTGGTGTACTTGTCCGGTGAAGCCTTTCAGCGAGTGGTGGGGAGTGTGATTGTGTAATAGTGTGGTAAAGTGTACCAGTCCGGTGAAGCTCGTTAAGAGAGTGGTGGGAGGTGATACTTGACCTTGGGGTGACTTGGTTACTTCGACGAAATATTGATATGGTTAGAAGTTAGTGACTTTGAATTCCGATAATGGATTGATGATTTATAATGTGTGTGATGTCATGTGAAGATGTGTGTAGATTTTTTAAGATATGTATGGTTCAGGAGATTTATTTTTAAAGTAGTTGTTTAATATTTATGTATGCGTATATGACTTGTGTAAGCAATTCTTTAATTTTCAATTGAATGAAAAACACACACAGGATCTTGAATTTTCATGATACTCACTATTCTCTCATACACAATGAAAAAGAACTTAACTGGATCAATAGTATAATTTCTTCATATCAATGTTCTCCCTTCTCTTACTCCTCTTTAATGCTTTCTTGATGATATATAAATTCTGAGGGATGTCACAGTTTCTTTTCTTTTCAGAGAACGTAACATTTCTTTCTCTCTTTTCAGAAACTTCACCTGTCAACGGTAGTCAAACTTTTTCCCTCTTTTATGATATTTAATCAATTTAATAAAATACAAAAATGCCCATTTTAAAGTGAGAAGAGAGAGATTAATTTTAATAACTCTAAAATAATCCCTATAACTTTAATACATTATATTCTAATAATCATCACATTAGAATATGTACATCAAAGTTATACTTTAAATTACATGAATCAATCTTAAATATTAATATAATTTAACAACTTGTTTCTGTTAGCTCACATTTGCGTGTTGTGGTTTCCACCTACAATGATTGTACTTGTACGAGAGTAGATGTTATTATAGATGTAGCTAAAGCGAAGTTGAGCGGCTGAGATACATGGGAAAACTATGGGATTTTAATTTTTATATTACTAGTTTTGTAATGATATTATATGAATGTTTTATAGTTACATTTGTTTTATGAAGTTTTATAACTTTAATTAAAATAAATTGAATTATTTAATCCGTATTCCGTAATGGTATTAGAGTTAAGTTTTCAAAAGGTTTTATAAACTCGTGGCATCCATAGATTTGGGGTGTTACATTTATAACTCTTAAGAGCATAAATACATCCAAAGTTTCTTTTCTACTGAACTTTTTTTTGTGTTATTTCTCTTCTGAACCTTCAAAATATACTAATGTTAAATATACTAATGTTAGTATATTAGAAAACTTTTTAATATATTTTAAAATATCAAAATTTAAAATATTGAACAAAAAGAAAATAGTAAAAATTTAAGAGAGCTTGTTATCAATATTTTTACCTTTTATTTTTCATGTTCACACACACACGCACACACACTAAAAGAAATTACTAGTAATGTTTGATATATATTACCACTTAAAATATTCAAAAATTCAACCGTTTTAGCTATGATTAACTTATGAGCTTGAAAGAGGCCGGACGGTTTGTGTGTAGGATGTTGTCACCTGTACTGAAGAGGAAAAACAATTTGAATCCGCATGGGATTAGGAAAATGTAGTCAATCAAATTAACATTAAATAATTTGGGTTATGAAGCCGAATGGCCGAATGTTTGAACACTGGAGGCCATGGAAGGCCGAGCAGTCGAGGCCGAATGGCCGAATACCTGTGAAGCCGATTGGCCGATTACCTGTGAAGCCTAATGGCCGAGTACCTGTGTAGCCGAACAGCCAAGTACCTGTGAGGCCAAATAGCCATATGCTTGTGAGCGCTAATCAGAGGAATGCTCTTACCGTTCGGTTTATAGTCCATGGGGGACTGTATTTACCGCTCGGTTTATAGTCCATGGAGGACTGTCTTTGATTTATAGTCCATGGGGGACAATCTTTGTCGTTCAGTTTTGAACGTTCCTTAGGTCTTGTGGATGGCCCTGTAAGGCCAATTGGCCGAGTACCTGTGAGGGCGAAGGGGCTGAGCACCTGTGTGACTTGATGGCCGAGCGTCTATGGGGTCGGATAGCCGAGGGTCTGTGAGGCTTGATGACCAAGCACCTGTGAGGCCTGATGGCCGAGCGTTTTTTAGGCTTGGTGATCGAGCGCCTATGAGGCCTAATGGGCGAGCGTCTTTGAGGTTTGATGATCGAGCACCTGTGAGGCCTGATGGCCGAGTGTGTTTGAGGCTTCATGATCGAGCGCCTGTGAGGCCTAATGGCCGAGCGTTTTTTAGGCTTGATGATCGAGTGCCTGTGAGGCCTAATGGCCGAGCGTCTTTGAGGTTTGATGACCGAGCGCTTGTGAGGCCTGATGGCTAAGCGTGTTTGAGGCTTGATGATCGAGCGCCTGTGAGGCCTGATGATCGAGCGTGTTTGAGGCTTGATGATCGAGCGCATGTGAGGCCTAATGGCCGAGCGTCTTTGAGGCTTGATGACCGAACGCCTGTGAGGCCTGATGGCTGAGTTCCTTTGGGGCCGCATGGTCGAGCACTTGCGAGACCGACTAGTCGAGTACCTATGAGGCCGAATGGCCGAATACCTTCGGGGCCGAATGACCGAACATCTGTGAGGCCGAATGGCCGAAACGAATGCATGAGAGGCCGAATAGTCGAATGCATGTGAGGCCGAACGACCAAATCGAATGCATGGAAGGCCGAATGGCCGAATGGCCGAATGAATGGGAGGTCGAATGGCCGAATGCATCTGAGGCCGAACGGCCGAATCAAATGCATGAAAGGCCGAATGACCGAATGCATGTGATAAAACGTTATAGTGATACAAGAATTTAAACAATAAAAGTTTATGCCTTAAGAAATTGAAATACCTGGCAGGCGAAATGGTCGAATAGTTGAGGCCGAAGGGCCGAATGTTTGTGAGGCCGAATGACTGAATTCCTGTGAGGCCGAACGACCAAATACTCGTGACATGGTTGAACACTTTATGCCAAATTTGGCTAAATGGGAGTACATCATTGGACCCTTAATAAATCTTGAACAATATTATAATATGCAATTTAGATATTTAAATTAAATCATGTAAATTAAATAATAAAATGAATCTATATCAAAATAATTATCTGTAAAGCTGTAGAAGCTGGTTGACGTTGATGGTGAGACTGCGTCCTTGTCTAGTTCCTTGCGATTTCAGTAGGATGCCCCCCGGCCCCATGGTGGGCGCCAAAATGTTTCGGTAGATATTTTCGGGACCGAGACACAAACCTTTCTGACGCTTGAATCACATGCTCCACTTGCTCTTTCAGTCTGGACCGCTAGGTTGCCTCAATCAGACCGCCCGGTTGCCTTCAAAATTGGCCGTTCGGTGGACTTCAATCTTGACCAAGGGGGGAGGTACCTGCAAAGGCATTCCGACGCTCAAGTTAGGCGTTTGTTGAAGGAGCTTTTGCTCACAAATGAATGTTTTGTATGGTGATTGAGTATTATGAACTCAATAGAGTGTAAGTAGAATGTGAATGGAACGTTTTGGAGTGTGAATTGAGTATACCTGGCTGATGGCCCTGACCTTGTATTTATAAGTTGTCTCATGAATCTAATATGATACAGGTCCAATAAAATATAAACAAACTTACCTTAAAATCCGATCGGTTT